GACAACCGGTATCGCTACACCTGAAAGCAGGAGGAGGAGCATACTGCTCTCATTCAGCACTTTTCCAACTTATCTCTCTCAGGTACATTTGAGCCAAACTTATAGAGGAATTTTTCAGGTAATATAAAATAAGATATGAAGCTACTTCCCTATAGCAACAGTTATTATGAAATCAATTTACGATGAGATATCGAAAAATAAAATAATTCTTATTATTATTCTTATATTTTAGTAGTGCTGCATATGGGATGATTGAAAATTCAATGATGAAATGATATCTCATCAAAAGTATGACATCCTTATGATAGAAAGTTCATTCCATTTTGACTTTCTTAGAAAACTAATCCAGCAGCAGTTACAATTATACATCACAAAAAAAGAATGGAAAAGTGAGGAAAAGAAAAAAGAAAAGATAAATTTTTTTTTCTTAAAAAGATTTCAAAAATCGTTTGAGAAAATGAAATTAGATAGCGATATCAGTGTTGAATTAAATCAAGAATCGCTAAAGTCCGAGATCATTGTGAATAAGCTTCATTATTGACTTCCAAACATAGCATGATCAAAGACTAACATAACGATTGGTGGTTGATGATTGGAGAGAAAGAAGGAGAAAACTATCTTCGTCCTCCCACAACACATTCCTTAATTAACACTATTAACGATGAAAATTGTTCATGGAATTCCGATATATTAGTTTTTTGAGCATCGAAAAGTTGGAATATTAGAATTTAAATGATTTGATTTTAAGCTTAATAGTATTATGGTTACTACTTTGGAAAATGACAACCATAAATTTGCTTGCTACCAACTATAATATATAGCAATTAAAATTAAGGAAAGTTGCTGTTACGGAAACTTAATGAGCTATATTTTTGTATTCTTTTTTCTAGGCATAAGATTGTATTACTATTTCAGGAAATTTTTTTTAACTATCGGGGCTGCTCGGTCATTTAATATCATATATCTGATCAAGTATGTTCAGCATAATCTGGAAGAAATGGATCATGATATCTGTTATATGAATTGTTTTTTCAATCAGTCTTCCGGTCTTTTAATTTAGCATATAAAGTTTAGCATGTTAGAAAACTTTCGAAAAACATTTTGTCGATTGTTTTCAACATTTCATGAAGAATATTCAGGACAAATTTCATAGATATATTGTTCAATGTTAAATAATGAACTAATGCACTGCTTGTATGAAGAACTAAAATGAGAAACTGTAAGTGTAATAATGTATCTCGAAAATGTCTAAATAATCGTTTACTTAAATGTATGCATGCTTATTCGAAAAACAGTACCTTATTCCTGAAGATTTTTATTTTCTGATATTATCTAAAGATGGTGACGAATATTATGGAACAGATATTTACTGGACTTGTTTACTACGAAGTTTCTATGCTATAAGACAAACTAAGATGACAGGGAATAATATTAATATATTTCTAAATAGAAAAAATTCACAGTGATATCATAACTTCACATTATGATATCACTGTAACAGCGTGGAAACATCAGGGAAATACAAACTAAATTGAAGCAGTAGTAGGTCATCCATTGTGGGATAGCTCGGATACATGATGACTGATAACCAGGATAATACGGAAGATAGTCAAACAATTGACGATATCTTTCAGTTCTAGATGGAGCAAAGTGGAAGGTAATAAGTCGGTACTCACTAACTGTAATCATTTATTAAAACCAATTTGCACATTTCATTATGTAGGATTCAGAAGGATGAAGCAAGAAACAATCAGCAAATTTCGGAAGAAGACTTTTAGTCACCATTAGCTAAATCAATTGAGCAATTTTAATCTTGAAAGGAAATATTTTGATCAATGCATCCTTACATGCTATCGTTTTGCTGTCGTTATGTTTGGATCTTAGTTCAGGTTACGGAGAAATGTGATGAAGAAGAATGAGTCGAAGAAGAACCATCCGATCTATTCAATCTCAATGACGAATGTTCTTAAAGTCGAGTATGCACAGAGCTCTGAGATGATTGGCGGTTTACCACCAACGAAAAGGATGCATGCATTTCGAGATAGTAGCAGAGCACATCATGCATACCAATTTGAACTTGTGAATGTTGATATTCAGAGTAACACGCTGACCCTACTAGCCATTGTATTAAGCATTTGCCATAATCAACACTAATGTTTATTCTTCCAGAACATTGAATTTCTGCATTGACCATTTAATGGAAGAATTAAAAATTTCAACTACATGTCTGATATGACAGAAAGTCGATTTTTATTTAGAAACAAAATGGATAAAATGTGCCTGATAGGCTCCAAAAGAAATTTGGATATGAAATGAAAGGGTTGTCAATTTCAGAGAGACCTGAGAAGACACTAGGACCTATAAACGAACGGTACCAGCCAAGACTTACTCTAACATCCACTGCCACCCTTTTTGCTACTGTCATCAAAATAGACATCAACCAACGTTTGTCCACTCTTTCCTTCCCTTTTTCGCCCTATTTTCGCTTTCTTACTCCTTCTTGTCAATCTCTTTTTTTTTCCTCCCTTCCTCCTTTAGCAGATTCTACGAAAGGGAATGCCCACTAAATTATATTTTAAAAAAAATTTAAGCTTACACTGAAATATCTTCTAGCGATTTACAAGTACAATACAAGCAGTCCCAAACAATCGTTCACAGTGCTCCTTCGTCTCTCTACTCCTGCATCTGCTCCAGTTTCACCTTATTAATACACGACACTATATTATATTACATCATATATCGTATCATATCATATCATATCACCAACAAACCCACTACCACCGATGGACCCTTCAAGTAGAATCACTCGTGAAATCGATTGACACTTCGCAGGCGTCTATCAACTATCTTATCTCTTCCCTTTCTCTCTCTGCCATTTCAATCTGTCTGTTCCTGTCCCGGTCGATCTAATGTGTCACAAATCAATGTTTAGTTGAGAAATATGTAATTTTGCTGGCTGGTTGTACGAGTAGTCCATAGAGAAGGGACCTTTCCCTTCCTGTTAGTACGCACTCTCTTCCTCCATTCTGTACTTTCTCTTTCTCCGTACGTATATCCTTCGTTCAATACGTCAATTTACGACATTGACGTGGACGCTTAATACCAATTAATAGTAAGCGAGTTAAGAAATGCTAGTGCTGCATTATCATTCATGACTTATGATTAGGGTTGTAATATAGGTTTGGATAGTGAAGTGATCTGTTTTAAGGATTAAACGGTTGAAATATGGCTGCTTGTACGCATACATGCATGATAACTGCTTAACACTTGATAGAATTACTGCATTACTGCTGCGAGAAGTGAATGTTTTGAAAGAAGCATGTGAAGATAAGTGGTGAATAGTTGAAAGAGGAAATGCATGAAGATGACAAACCTGCGTGACACTACCAAGTATACTGGATAAATGTCCTTTGGTGCCCCGTATGATTGACCCCAGTGAGGCTCTACTACTACCGTGAACAGTTGGACTATCTGCGCCCAGCAAGGTACTGCCGGCTTGCGTTGACTGATGTTGTGTGTTGTGGTTCGTAGTATAAGTTCGTGCTGAAATAGAAATTGAACGAAAGTGTAAATATATGATGCTCACTCACTAGCTACCATTTTCATCTGAACACTGGTAATTATGAAAATCTCGAAATGATATTAATTCTCAATACTTCTAACATGGAAATCTTCCTCAGTTCGCACAATGTGCAGCACAATTTTCGGAAATATCAAAATGTTATGCTGGAGGAAATATTAATTGTTCAACAAATTTTTATAGATATATTTCGTTAAATTTTCCCTTTATATCCATAATATTTAGTGGAGAAGAAAATAATACTAGTGCAGTTGAGGTAATCTTTGCGATCCAAGGCAGTATGTTGTGGTTGCGAGGATGACATCCGTGAATAATTACATCGCACCAATAATGTAAACTGTTGAAAAAAAAGAAAATTAGAAATTTGGCTTGATCTGATATTTTCACATACGGAACAATGTTATGATTGCTATAACCATTTAATGTGCAATTGATTGGCTTTCCTTTCTAATGATATGAAAAAATGTAAATGGAACGAAATTTTTTTTTCTAATACAGCATACAAGTACGTCATTATAATTTCCACTTTTTTTCCCAATGAATATTTTTATCGATTATCTCATAGGTTTTCATATTGAAATAGAAATATGAGAATGATTACCTTTTCCTTTTATCTTTTCGCGATAGAAAAGGAAAATGAGATTACCTTTTTTTTAGTTCCAGTGAAATTACTATCAGCGAAGTGTTGTTTATATCCTAAAAAACTGTAACAAATTTTTGTAAGCGGTATGATAAATAAAGTAAATAAAAAGAAAAAAAGCCATTTTTATTGTTTTTCTCGCTCGGTCTAGCACAATTATATCCATCACGGTATTTCTTTTGCTTCATTTGCGGATGGAAATTCTTTTGTTTTTTTTTTGCTCTCAATCCAAATGAAACGGGAAAATAATGTAAACAATATAATCAAAGAACAGTCAGTGGCGCCGGAAATTCATAAAATAAACGGAGAGGAAAATTTTGTAAATTTAATGCTGAAAGAATCACAATGCATTTTTCTAGCATCTTTTTTCTTTAAATAACTTCACGAAAATCATTTATTTTATGATCATTTTAATATAATATTGTTTCTTTAACAAATATGTTAATGCTACAATTTTTTTCAACTTGATATTTCTGCCATTCTTTGAAAGTAAAAAAGAAAGATTTTCCCGACATCTTTTTTTTGTTGACCTTCGATTAAATCATGAGTGGAAACAAAAAGCAATGTAAAAAAAAAAGGGAAAAAGAATGACTGGACGAGTTGGCAATTTTCAATTCAAAGTTGTCATGAAGCAATCACTGCAGAATCTTGGATGAGTGCTTTTACTGCGTTTGTTGTCGTAAATTTTTTTTTCTCTCTGCAGTTCATGAGATTTTAGAACAAATAATTTCTCATTTGGCTTAAGCGATGACACACAATTACGTCAAATTTTCATCCATTCATAATCATAACGAAAGCTGTCATCTATTGGCTATATGCATTTTGCATTGAATTAACCATACAATAGGACAAAAGAGAAATAGGAACTGCAAATTTTCATTTCGAAACAATTCTTATAAAGAGAAGAGAAAAAACAAAGATGAGTTAGTAAATAAGGACGAGAATTAAAGAAGACAAATTTGGCTCAATGCATCCATTATAGGCTTCTTATCTCTTTGTGTATCACCAAAAGTATATATGAAACTAGATGAATATTGAGGATGTCGTGATGTGTTACACGAAATATATTATTCCGATTTTCCTCCATCTTAATTCTCATTACTTCTCTCTCTCTATCTCTCTTTCTCTTTCATCAGTAATTTATGAATATCTTTTTTGAAATGAAATTCTTTGATATTTCTTTCCAATAGCCCTTATCCTAATGTTTGAACACACTTTAAAAGTTTCAAAAACAAATCGATAAATCAATTTTTATTCCTAAGGAAAAAAAGCTTGTGATATTTACTGATGAGGCAGAGAAGAGATTAGAATCACATGGAACAAAACTAAAAGAAAAGTGATTGATATAATTCATGTATGAATTTATTATGAAGGAATGAGAGGGAAAAATGCAATAAACTTACAGTCAAATTTATCAAAAAAAGCGATGAAAACACAAAGATAGCAAAAGGGACAAACTTTCATATATAAAAGTTTGCTGAAGTAGAAAGAAATGTATTTTTATCTTGAATTCAAAAACTTATGACAGATATCATCTATAATTTTAGCTAACGTATGCTACATAGATAAACGAAATTCGGAAATTTCTATTAACATGGATTTAATAGAAATGGTGAAATTTATGGCAGATGTATGGGAGTTCAGGACATGATGCAACAATTTGAAAAATATCTTTTCTTGTAAATCCAAAAAAAAGTGATTCAAGATATCTTCGTATTACTATGAAGTTCAATAAGTATTATATTCAAACTTTTGTTGGAATAATTTTATTAAAATATACTTTTACGAACTGCTACTACAAAACGATATTTTATTTCAATTGTAATAGCGAAAAGCTTTATTCATTTATTTTAAACCATAATATCCCGGTAAGAGAGGAATAAATTTTTCCTTAGCTTTTCATAAATCAAATAGAAAGCGACTACTGTATGTTGTAATAACATTACGATAAATGCATGTATAAAAATGAAAATCGAAAATTTTTTGGAACATTTTCCTTCTTCATTCATATAAAGCTTTGAAAAAGAAAAAGTGTTTATCGATCGTCTCTCCTAAACACACACACACACACACACACACACACACACAC